CATAGACACTGACAACTCTTAGTTGAAAAGTGACTGAGAAGTGTTATATATTGACTATGAAGAAATTTTGGAAATGTTTCAATTAATTTTGCTTACATTTTTGTTTATGATAAGAATTTAATGTCTATATTGGTCTGGAAAAAATCTCTTTTAACCAATATTAAACAGTACTGTGAGATAAGAAAATAATTGTGACATAGTTTATTTGGCAGGAATTTTTTCTTAATAACATATAAAGCACTGATATATCTTATAAGACTGACACCTTAGATCCAATGACATATGCTTTATCTTTACATACTTGGGCAAAGTATTGCTATGGAATAGAGTCGAAATAGTGGAATTGCCAAGATAAAGGTTCTCATCAATTCCTCTCCACAAAGATTATATCAATTTGCACGCACACCGATGATATATAAAGACCTGTTTCCCAACACTGGACATTCATTTTTAATGTTTGAGAGTCTAATAAGTGAAAAGCATATTTTATTTTGTAACTATTTGATTATTTAAAGGCCCATAACAGTTCTCCTATGAGTCATGTTTTTTATGTATTGCCCATTTTTTGTATGTTGTTGCTGGTGTTTTTCTTCCTTTAGATATCAAGGTAATGCACTTTTTCAAATGTGTTAGTCGCCCCCCCCACGCCTGTAGTTTCTTGTTTGCTTTCCAACTTGGTGATCATATCTTTTGCCATAAACAAAATTTAAGGCTTTGTTTAGCCAAAATTTTTAAAAACAGCTTTTGATTTTCTATTTCTTTCCTACCCAAGATTATAGAACTATTCTTCTATGCACTTCTCTAGTATATTTTTTAAGTTAGAAATTTAATCCAACTGTAGTCATTTTTACTATTATGTAAAGATGGGAATCTGATATTTTTTATCCATAGGATTAACTGTTTCCCAACTCATTCTCCACTGATTTGAAATGTCATGCTTATCATATATAAATTTTCATGAATAAATAGATCTCTGTTCCATTGCATATTTGTTTATTCCTTTGCTAGTAACCAAATGTTTAATTACTCTAGAATTCTGAATGGGGGTGATACTCCCATAGGGGCAAAATCACCCACAAGGAGGCAAAAATTGGTTCTTGAGAGATAAAAAAGCATTATTCTTTTTATGTATGAAGCATAGATAAACATATAGTACATAACAGACATACAGCTTATCTGTGGTATTAAAATGTTATAAGGAATGAGATGAGCGATTAAGGACAAAAGGTCTAAGAAGGTCCTTTGCAGGGGCTATAATGATAAAAAGTTGAGAAGCACAGCTCTCGCTTCATAGGAGGTCCTGATGGCTGCTTATGTCCCCTGTCAATATTATTCTTTTATCTACCCGCTCCCTGCTATTCTCATTACTCTTCCCAAATAAATTTAGCAGTAATTTCTTTCTGTTCATGAATGTGCCAAGCTGGTTCTTGCTTTGGGGACTTTGATCTTGTGGTTCCCTCTGTCTGATCACTCTTTCTCTCCAGACCTAGGTGACTCACTCACACATACCTGTCTCTACTCACGTATCATCTCCACAGAGGGCCTTTCCTTACCATCCTGTCTATCCTTGTACGATGCTTTTCTTTTCTTTCTTTTTTTTAAGTTGTAGTCTCACTGTGTCGCCCAGGCTGGAGTGCAGTAGCACGTTCACAGCCACCCCAGTGCCAACTTGCTGGGCTCAGGTGATCCTTCTGCTTCAGCCTTCCAAGTAGCCAGAACTACAGGTGCATGCTACCATGCCAGACTCAATTTTTTAAAAAATTTATTGTAGGGATGAGGCCTAGCCAAGTTGCCCAGGCTGTTCTTGAACCTGTGACTCAGGCAATCCTCTCACCTCGGCCTTCCAAAGTGCTGGGATTATAGGCTTGAGCCACAGTGCCTGGTTAGTGCTTTTCTTTATAGTCCTTACTAGTACACAAAATTATATATATGTATGTATATATATAATTATACATATATATATATATATATATTTTTTTTTTTTTAATTGACTTCTTTACATTCTGCCTCCTTCACTAGCATGAACTCCATCAGGGCAGGGACTTGGTTTTCCTACCACTTTACCGAACTTGGCCTCTCGAACATATCTGGCACATGGTAAGAACTTTCTAAATATTCCTTGAATGAATGAGTGAATTTACTAAGTTCCAGAAAGGTCCATTGGAATTGCCATTGGAAGTCTATTACATTTATAGATTAATTAGTAGGGAATTGTCATTTTTAAACTTTTGATTCTTTCTATTCAAGCACATAGCATTTCTCTCTGTATTGTTTTATGTCCTTTAGAAAAGACTTTAAAAAAAAAAAATCTTCCTGGAAGTTTTGTGAATTTCTGATTAGATGTATTTCTAGGTATTTGAAGTTTGTTGGTGGTGTCTTCTCTCATGAATTAGTGATCTTTTTATTTTTCTGTTGTATTTTGTTACTTGTATTAGTTTCCTATTGCTGGTATGAAAAATTATTGCAAATTTATTAGTATTCCACTACATGAATTTGCCATCTTAGAGTTCTGGAGGTCAGAAGTCCAAAATCAGTTTTACTGGGTTAAAAACCAAAGTGCCTCAGGCCTGTGTTTCTTCTGGAGGGATCTTGGGGAGAATCCGTTTCCTTGCCCCTTCTAGTTTCTACAGGTTGCCTATAGTCCTCGGCTTGTGGCCCTATCCTCCATTTTTAAAGCTCATCAGTTTAACCTCTGCTTCCATTCTTTTTTTTTTTTTGAGTTGGAGTCTCACTCTGTTGCCCATACTGGAGTGCAGTGGCTGCTCCCGGCCACCGCAGCCTCGACCAGCTGGGCTCCGGCGATCCTTCCACCTCAGTCTTCCAAGTAGCCAGAATTACAGGCAGGCACTACCACGCCCGGCTGATTTTTTGATTTATTGTAGAGATGAAGTCTCGCTGCCCAGGTGGGTCTCGAACCCGCGGGCTCAGGCAATCCACTCACCTCAGCCTCCCAAAGGCGCGGGATTACAGGCTGAGCCACTGAGCCCGGCTTCTGCTTCCATTCTTAAATCTTCCTTCTCTAACTCTGATCTTCTTGTCTTCCTCTTATAAGGACCCTTGTAATTACATTGAGCCCATCTGGATAATTCAGGGTAATCTCACTATCTTAATCACCTGTGCAAAGTGCTTCTGCCATACGATAATGTATTCATAGGTTTCAGGAACTAAGATGTAGACATTTTAGGGGCCATTATTTATCCTTCTATACTTATGCTTGCAGATATATAAGAAACTATTTTTGTGTGTTCTTATATTTGGGTATACTTTGCCAACCTATTATTTTGTATTTTTAAAAATTGTTTTTCAAACCATTTGTTCCTTTCTTTCTGGTATTTATAGCTTATTTTTGTTCTTGCCTTTTCTCTTCATTGTCTAGCCCCTCCTGCTTCTGGTCAGTAATAGCTATGAGACCAGGCATTCTTGTATTGTCCTTAACTTTACTAGAAATTGCTTCATTGTTTTACCACTGAGTCTGGTGGTTTCTAATAAGCACTATTAGACAGAGAATTTTCTATAAAATAAAATCCTAGTTCACTAAGATTTTACGTCAGAAATGTATATTAGATGTAGTAACCATTATTATGAAAGTCACCATATGGTTTTTCTCTTTTAGATTATTTACAGCTTTTCCAATAATGGTCCTTTCTGTTTTCCAGGAACAAATCTTCCTTGATTGTAGTGTGTTGTTCTTTGAATGCACCACTGACTTCTTTTTGCTATTTTGGATTTTTGTATTTATATTAAAAAGTTAATTTGACATAGCATGTTTAGGATAGTGATGCTATCCTTATACAGCTTGGGCATTGTGGATTATCTAGTCATATTAAATGAATTGGGGAACTTTCCATCTTTTTATATCATCTGGAAGTGCTTAAATAGTATTGGGATTATTTGTATTTTGAAAGTCTTGAAAACATGAAGTTCCTTGAACTGCTACTACTAATGTCAAAAACCATCTTCTATACCTAGCAGTGTTGTGCTACCCCGATCATCTGGACTTCTTCTCTTCCTGACTCCCTTTTCATCCTTGCCTCCTGTTCCTTACCTGCTCTGTGTTGCGACATTTGAAGTCTAGCCTGGGACGTGTGCAACAGGTTTTCTCTGTGCAAAGCTGTCCAATCTATAAAAGAGAGGTCATATCTACTAACTTGGTTTCATTCACAGTAATCTGTCAGGCTGAGGGGTTGCACAATACAGCTTTGTCTTTCATGGAACTTTATTTTTTTCAGATCATTTGGGAATTGTCTTTATTACTCATTAATCATCACAATGTTCCTGTGAAACTTCTTCCCAGTCTGCTGGATTATTTCTAGTTTAGAGACAGAGATCATTGTTGAAGGAAGTAACCTCTAATGTCAGAGTTTTGCATACATAGTCTTCAGAGACAAAAAGCAGTCAATAAAGGGCAAAAGTGGGGGAGGGTGAATACCTGTAAATTAAACTGTATCAGATCTGAACTGTCTTTTAGATTGATTACCATGAAACTGAGCAGAGGCCAAAAAATGCTCGTTTGATCATAAGAGATCATAAGAGGAAGCCCATACCAAGAGAACCCTCTCTTCCTAATACTTTTTATCATGAAAAGCCTGATTGCCTGAGAAAACTTTTTTTCAGTTCTTCAACGAACAATTATCTGCTGAGATACTGCTTTCTGTTCAGAATGTCAAACTGATGTACATTTGTATAAGTGAGGGAATCCAAGGCCCAGGGCAATGAGCTGTAATTTTAGTTTAGTAAACCAAGGAAGTTTGCAGTGACTAGACTTAGATAATTTTTAAGCGAGATCCTCCGATTAGGTATCTTTGGATCTTAAAATCCTTCATCAGGACTGAGTTTACCTAACAAAAGTGGTGTTTCTTTGAGACTGCTACTACTAGTTTCTAAATTAGAGTAGTGCTGAACTTAACCTTTGCAAATTCTCCTTGGAAAATGGTTCAGTCAAAAGGTATTATATTTTTGTATAGAGTGCACATTGACTTCTTATTTCTTCCCCCTTGCAGTAAAACAGATCATCGGTAACATTTCAGGATTTAATGAAACCTGCTTGAGATGGAGAAGCATGAAGACAGGAGATATAGAGGAGATGTATTTAGTAAGTTACTGAAAGTTTCCATATTTGTAGTTGTTTGTCTTATGTGGGAGGTTTAAAAATATCCACAAACTTAAACATCTACTTCTATAGCTGCCATTATCAATAGAAGATGTGACAATTGCAATAAGGAGCAAGCAAACAGCTATTTCTACTGAATATTTGAAGACAGAAACCTTAGGAAGGAATGAGAAGTCTTGAGAATTTCTTTCTTTACTTTCCTTTCTTTCTTTTT